TTCAGTGTTTACCCTGAAGTTTCCTTGCATTTCTTATCACCATTATAAGCTCCCAAGGTACAGGCTACAATGTCCATCTGTGTGTTCAGTATCACACATCATAGGCACTGGTAAACACTAGCCAAATGAGTTAATGATCTGTGTTGACAGGCCTTTCAGAAATACAATTACTTTAGTTATTGATGTGATTATTTCCCTGAAGACTGTCTCTGGTTCATCTTGGAATGAGAGAAGAGTGCTGACTGCCAGGTGGAGGGTTTTTGAACTGACACCAGCCACTAAAGGATGGGTTTTTCTCTGGCTTGCTTGTTTATTTAACTTTTCAGTATTGAGAAAAAAGAGTGGAGCATCTTTTCTCATTTAAAGGAAGGCCCTCTATTTTTCACAAGGGGCCTTGGCTCTTTGTCCTTATTGGCCTTCTCAAAGTGTAGTGATTCAACTTGCCCAGCCTGACCCAAACAATTGCTTCCAATACTTTGAGAAAAAAATTCTGTACGTAACCTTCCTTGTATTCTACAGTCTCCAAGAGTTAAATATTAACAGTAAATGAAAAATTGCTTTTCTGTTAACACTTCCTTAGTGATCAGCCTTATGTTTAAACATTTGCTTTGCTTTTGTACTGCATGAATGACCACACTGATGGATTTGGTCTTCTTGTCTACCTTCTCCTTCTGGTTCACTACCACTTTGTCATTCTTTGGCTCCTTTTTAAAGCCATAGTAATAGCAAGAAGTTCATTTATGTCACCACCCAGCATAAGTATATGCAACTGGGACAAAGCTACACAGTTCTGTTGGACTGTTTCAGTAAAATATGATGATGGGAAGCTGTCCATTCAGTGTGTTTTACAACCTACTGCACTGTTGCCTGCTGTTGCAAAACCACCGCTTTTGTGAATGCCATACACATTTCCTCATTCCTTCTTCCGGTTCATTTTGTTGCTGTAATTACATAATATTGCCTTGAAATGGAAAGGAATGATTATTAGGCAATAATGATGGATTTTGTAGCACCCCCCCCCCATTAGCTGGTGTCTTCATCCTTATGCATGCCCAGCTTACTTCTTAGCCATGTGGTTAAGAGACAGTCCGGTCAGATGATTTTCTGTTTTAAAACATATTCTACTTTACAGCTTTCTCAGGTTCATAGCACAGGTGAGCATACTGTTCAAAAGCATCCCTTCCTCATTATCAACATTCTATGTCAAATGGCACATGTGCTACAATCAATGAACCTGTAATGATTCTCTATTGCCACCGAAATCCATAGTTTATATTAAGGTACACTTTGGTGTGGGACATTTTATCAGTTTGCACAAATATATAATGACATGTTTCTGCCATAATAATACCTCGCCAAGCATTTTCACTAGCCCAACAATCATGTCTGCTTTTCCTGTCCTCCATGCACTGGCAGCCACTCAGTATTGCTACAGGCTGCCCTGAACAGGGTGCCATGCTGTGCAGCGGAGAGAGCCTCAGCATTCACTCAGTGTTAGGCTATGGAGAGAATGCTGACTGGTTTTTATTGAACCTGCTAAGATACTTTATTACATATTTTATAATTATAGCATCATACATGTGAATTTTAGAAAACTCAGTGAAGTACAAAGAAGAAAAAAAACAACACTTTCTGTGAGATAAAATTCCACCATGTAATTTCCTTGCAAGTATAATCCATTTTGGGTATAATCTTCATGGCTTTGTAGTTTATCATCAGAATTATTATTTTATTGAAACTGGTTAATAAGTATCAACCAAAACCTTATCTATTTTTAGATAGTAAGTCATTTTCCAGTTTTGAGTGTGTTAGTACACTGGATATCTAATTCTGAACATTTATCTCCATTTTTACTTGTTTTTTGCTTATTTGGAGACAGATTCTCATTTTTTAGCCCAGGCTAATCTGAAGCTCTTAATCTTCCTGCATCTGCTTCTTTAGAGCTAGGATTAAAGACATACATCATACCCTATTTTATTTACTTCCATTTTCAGACATATTTTAAAGGTAGATCTTTTAAAGTAGATTCACTGGGTTCTTGACTCTGTTGAAGATCAGGGGTTTTTACAGATGGCCACTGTGCTTTTAAGGACAGAGAAACTTTATTTACCCAGCGTCTGCATGTCCAGAGTTCCAGAAGATGTGGCATAGATGGGAAATGTAAAAAACAATGAAGTACACTTCCTAGGATGAAGGAAACACACTGTTAGGGGTAAGTGAGAGGATGTGGGAGGAGACGAGGAAATCCTCAGATTGGCCTTTATCTTCTCTCCAGGTTTAAGGAGTGAGGATAGATACAGGGACTGTGAGTGACACGGAGATGAGTTAGAATAACTGATATAGAAAATGTTTGGGAGTTCTTTACATTAAGAAGTATCTGGAAAATTTCCAAGCTCCACTGTGGATTCATGAATTGGCTTATCAGACAGTCATTGTAGTACCAGTCTGGGAAGTCCTTTGTGATTTTTTTCTCAGGGGTGCTGGCACCTCCAATAGAAGAAAGATAGGGATGGATGAGCTGATCTAGGCTGAGTTGCTATAAAGTTAGCAGAGGAACATGTTCTGAGCATTTATATTTGTGGCTCACGTCCTGAGAATGTGATGCTCAGGGTGCAAAGGTACTGGGGACAGGGGAAGATCACTGGTTGTCTCTTATCTTGTAAGGTGGTCGTGGGTCCATTTCATGAATTGAGGTTAAGAGCTGGTAACTTTGGAAACACTAGGAACCAGTGCTGCTATTAGAAGCCTTTTCTGTATATAATGAACAAGAAGTAAAATGCCAACAGTGGTTCAAAGTAATTGAGCAGATGAATTGCTACTAATCTGCTTCATGTTTCCCTCAAAGGCCTGGTGGTACACAAAGGCCTGGTGGTGCCTCCTCCCTTGATGGAGATCTATAACAAGAAAACACTCAAACTATCCAAGCTCTGGGTTTTCCCAATGAGTCTTACCCTAGTGGATGCTAAGGACAAGGAATGCTTGATTTATCTGACAATACACCTTTGCATTCAAGAGACCATCTGTGCCCAAACTTGACCCCTTAAAATGGGGCCAATAAAGTGGCCCCTCCTGAGAAGAGGATGACAGTTCTGGGTGGACCCAGGGAACAACCCAGATAAATATTTGGGTCAAATGTATAATAAGATCATAACCATGTTTGATACACTTTATTGGATTTTGTATAGGGCGAGTGTTACTATTTCTTCTTTTTCTTTCCTCTCAGTGACATCATCTGTGGTGCTGGTGGTAGAGTGTTAGGCATTGCTTTCTTGGAGTCACATGAAGTTTGTTTTGGGCATCAAGTCCAAGTTGACTCTATAAATACTGAAAAAAGAAACCCTTTCATGTCCTTTTTTAATTTTTTCTGTGCTCAAGATAATGCTAATACAAGACTGTATTTGATTAACCTCTTGAAATGAATTAGTCAAATGTGCCCTGAATGACTGCACCAATAAATTAGATAAAAATTAATTGTAGGAGGCAATAAGCTTGTGAAATCACGGCAGTTCATGCTGATGGCTTGCCTGACCTCTGAGGTTAAATTTGAGGAGGTAACTGGTTCCCCAGCAAAAATCACAGAACTTGCCACGACTGAGTCTTCTAACCTTGACTTATGCATAGCAGCTATTGAATGTACTTGAACGGGTTCCATTGTTTCATTTGAACAGACAGACAGATAAAGACAGAAAGACAGAGACAGCAAGACAGAGAGAATGAAGCACACATACATACATATTAATAACAAATAAAATAATTATAAAAAGAAGCCCTCAAATTCTGTAAGTTAGAGGACATTCCAAGAGAAGATCCTGTTGTCCCTTCATCTCAGATATAGTCACCTACCAAGCTGTTAGGGTCTGTGCCATGGCATTAAGAGAGAAACCTCTGACAAAAAGAACAGATGATTTGTTTTTTGTTTTTGACTTTTTTAGACGAGTTATTCTTGATTTGCAGCATATATAGTTTCACTCACAAAACAATTAACTGAAACAATGCATCTTATTTATAATTTATTTGTAGATTTACTGATTTTGTGTCATATGCAGAGGTTTTGCCTGCACATGTGTATGTACACTGCCTGACTGAGTGTCTGAAGCCCTCAGAGTTCAGAAGTGGGCATTGGCTCCCCGGAAGCAGAGCTATGGATGGTTGTGTGCAACCACAGGGTTCTTGGAGACCAAACCAGGGTCCTCTGCAAGAGTGACAAGTGTTCTTAGTCACCCACCCCTCTCTCTAGCTCCACATTTTCTGTTAGTTTTCAATCAATAAAAACCCAACAAATAAATCATAGATATAAATAAAGACAAGACTAAGTTTTCTAAGATGATGGGATGAGAAATGTGGCCTTTTGTACAATAAAGAGTGGCCACCTCACTGTCTTTGTAAATAAGGTCTACCCTACCTCTAAGGTACTGGGCTTAGACTGTCAAACCCTGTTTAAAGTTCTTAAAGTTCACTAGAATACGAAATTCTTTATTTTCTTTCATTCTTTTAACATTATAAATTTTAAATTAAGATATAATTACACCACCTCCTCCTTCCACTGCCCTCTCTCCATTCCTGTGTTTTCACAGTTGTGATAAGGAGCACAGCATGGAAGGCTGTAACTAAAGTAAATCCTTCCAGCAGTGGTCAAAACATTCTTCTTGTTTGTTTTGCTTGTCAGGAGGAATTTGCTTCAAAGAGCACTACTACTTCTTTTGATATGTTTTGTGTCTTAATGAATTTGCAACCCTTCAAAGGAATGAAATCCTTTTAAACACGTTCTCCTGCAACTGAAGTAAGGTGTGTGTGTGTGTGTGTGTGTGTGTGTGTGTGTGTGTGTGTTGTTCCACATTTGGCTCCTCTGCTGGGTAGATGTAATTTAACAGATGGGATCCTTCTCAAGCTGGTAAATATCTCCTCAGTGTACATTCTTGGCTCCACCCACCCCCGAACATCCTGACAGTGAGTGACTTGGCTGACCAAACCCTGGCCTTCTCTGTGCGTTTTTATCCTAGATACATTTCATCTTGCTCTTCAGTCGACAAGGGAAACTTCGGCTGCAGAAATGGTACACCACACTCCCTGACAAAGAGAGGAAGAAGATCACCCGGGAGATCATCCAGTCTGTGCTGTCTCGTGGGCACAGGACAAGCAGCTTCATTGACTGGAAGGAGTTGAAACTTGTTTATAAAAGGTGTGAGTAACTTCACGAGAACCAACCTTCTATTTGTGGCTTTGACTCGTTTTTCCTTCTGAATATTTTAGATTTTGATACCAATCTCAATGCTTTCTGACATCTTTGATGAGGAGAGTCTAAATATTTGCAACAATGAGAGAGCTTGTAAAGATTCCTCCATGGATTGAAACAGCTTCCATGTGTTAGGATGGATTCTAAATACTTAAGCTATCTGCTGAATTTGCACCCACATGCTCAGTGACATTTTGTGAACACCGGTTACATTCCAGCATCATTTCAATGCCCGTAGATACAGCAGCAAGTGAATGAGACAGATTATGTTGGTGTTTTCAAGAAGCATATTTATTTATTAAGCAATCAACATATATTCAGTAATGAATGCTATGGGAAAACACAATTGAATGTGATGGAGGAATGAGAACCATTTCCAAATGGATTGCTCACATTACAGTTGTCCATATTTGTAGATGAGTGAACTGAGGACACACCATTTAAGCAATTACTTCCCAGCCACAGTAGTTGAATGGTAATCAGTAGAGCCAGGACCCAAGTCCAGAACTTTCTTCCTTTAAAGCCTATATTATCTTTTGATGCACCTGTTTGAAGTGGCAAGACCATACTATTGAGGAATCCTAATTTATGAATGAGAGATCTGAGGCTTGAGAGGTAAAGGAAGGTTTTCAATGAAGTCTCAGTTAATGGATGCCAAAGTTAGTACCTGAACATAACCAGCCTGGCCCAAAGTCCTCTACCAAACTACAGTTTCCAAAAGGAAGAATTCACACTGGACATCCACTGGAAGAGATTGTTTATAAAACCGGAAGGGAGAAGAAAGGTGGCATGTGGGGTCTGGTAGTTATACTAGGAAGTGCTTTGGCAAAGCAGCCTCCGTGGCTTTGAATGGTGATCCATTCTATGCCACCCTATGACAATTTACAAACCGGAGAGGGGCTACAACAAACACCCTGACTGCCATAGGCCAAAGGTGCCGTCCCTGTGAGTGTAGCTCTTCAAGGAATAAAGTTCTGTCGAGAGCCTTTCATGTGATTAAACGAAGTTATTAACTACTGCAGCACTTTATATATTTCTGGTTTATATTTGAGAAGTGTACTGTTTGCCATGAGCAGTGATTTTTATTCTTGTAGGGGGAGACTCTCTCGATAGCAGGAGGCTGCACACCCATTGGGAAAACCCACTTAGGCTTGTTGATTGTCTCATTCAATTTTGCTTTTCCTTATTTTTTTCTTTCCAAGGTATGCTAGTTTATATTTTTGCTGTGCAATAGAAAATCAAGACAATGAGCTCTTGACACTAGAGATTGTACATCGTTATGTGGAGTTACTGGACAAATACTTTGGAAATGTAAGTGTCCTTCCGGCCCTTTAGAGTCTATCTATCTTGGTTCTTGTTTCTGCTCATCTCTTGTGTTCCCTTTCTCTTTCTCAATTGCATTGTACCAAGGATGGTGCTGGCCCACCTTGGTTCAGAATCACAGAGTTCCTCCCTACCTGTATTTCTTAGTAAATGAATCACTGAAAATATGTGGATGGATCTTTACCTTCAGATTGCCTTGTTTCAGGGAGCCTGAATTTAATTGTGAGCGATCTCCGCCCCTTATTCCTCATTGGCTTTACCATTTCTTCTCTGTTTTGACATTTTGTTCCTTCTTTGGCATTGTTTAAAGTTACAATATTTTTTTAGTACACAAGGGAAAACAACAATAACCAACCCAGACAAACAAAAGTCCCCAATCCTTTCACTTCACTTGGATATTCTACAGTCTCTTTGCATTTATTTAAATAACAGATGCAGAGATCCCTCACAGCTGCTCCCATCTTCAGAGCCCATTCATTCACTCTGTGCCAGCTCACAGCAGGGCCCCATCTTACCACTCCAAGGAGGTTGTACCGTTACCATTGAGCCCTCCAAACTGCTCTGCTCTGTTGACATTCCCCAAGCCTTCCCTGCTTGCCCTCTCTGCAGCACTGGAGCCTTATTCATCCTTTAATGCCCCCCCTTTTTGCCTTGACGTTGCTCTCTGCTGGGTCTTGGCCTGTGTATCTGGGGACCCCTCCTTGGTTTTCTTTTTCCCCTGAGCTCTCCCTCCTCTTCTTCCAAATGCTGTGCCTCTCTCGCACCACCTGTCTAGTGTGTCTGGATTCTGTCTCCCAGACTCTACTGCCAGGTGATTTCCTTTTTGCTTACCTGGTGATGGTCTTTTGGTGGTCTTCTCAGGATCAAGTACTATGCCTGTCTTTGTCAAGCCTGCTCTTTCTGGTGGTTGAAGTTTGCTATGTCGCAGAGCTTTTCACTGCAAAAAGACAGGGTTCTTTTGCCTTTCTTTGTCTGTTACTAGAACCTACCCAACTCTTCCATTTCAACTTAAAACTCATCTTCTTCATTTCCCTCTCACTAATGTAGTGCATTTACTTAGGATTTTACTCTCAGCTTCTTACTTGGCCATTTCTATCTCTAAACTCTTTTTTGCTTTTCTGCTTGGCCTGCTGTCGATCATCTTTTTTTTTTTTTTTTTAAATAAAGCACAGACCTGGGGTGGGGGGCATTAGTTCCCATCACTTTTTCCATCCCTCATGAAAAACTCCACACCTCCTAGGCTATAATCTATGCTTTCAAACAGTGACAACAGGCCACTTCCCCACCCTTGCTGTGTTCTTGTCTCTGTGCACCTGTCGTCGTCAGCATTCCAGGTTATGCAATATCTCTGAGCATCCCAACTGGTGCAAAAGTTACCCGAGTGCAAACCTGGCCCTTCCCTGAGGTCAAGACCTTTGACCTCCCCCACCGCTATAAATACGTCTGGGTCAGATTTCAGCAAATGTTCTAGAGACACCAGTAAAATGCATGGTTGTGGGAAAGAAAACTACCAGATATGGAAACAGTTCCTCCAGCAATTCTCTCTGCTCATTCCCTTGGTCAGTAGACGTTTATCAAGCAATGTTGGGAGAATCTGCCTGCAGAAGAATTTTTAGCATTCTTTCTCTGAAAGTGATCAGGTGACATTTTCATCATTGGTTGGGTTGGGTCGGGTCTTACCTGCTCCCACCCCTTTTTTTTTTTTTTTTTTTTTTTTTTTTTTTTTTTTTTTAACAGGCTTCACCATAACCAATATTGGATGGGTCTCTAAATGAACTTTCTCCCCTATTTTCCCTTGTAAGCTTGGGAGATTGCAGTTATTGTCAATATTTAGCAACAATAAGAAAGTGACACCATGTTCTCTTCCTCTTGCCACCGCACCAAGTTTATTTTTATTTTTTCTAAGTCTTACGTATAAAGTAGCATGCTTTGAAACACAGGAATATTTAACTTCGTGCTTTCTTTTATTCTAATGAATTCTGACATTTTTGGTGCTTTCCTTTGAAATGAGCTACACATGTGGCCTTTTTGCAAGGGCCCGGAGGAGTTTCTTGGAGTCTGAGCTTTGCTATAACCTACCTTCTCTTCCTCATTTCTGAACTGTGGTTTGACCTGTTCTGTTTATGTGGATTAAACCAACTTCGATCATGTGACTTGAGGCTTAATTTTTATCTCTCTGTACCTAGTTGAAACTCAACCAGGTATTTCAGAGCACATCACTTCTTTTGAGAATTTGGATGACCTCCACCAGGATCTAGGCTCAGGGAAAGTGTAAAGAGGATCAGAGTAACTTCCTGCCTCTCAAGCATTTGTTCTCCATCCAATTCTGGTACACTTCTACAAGCTCCATCTCTGTGTCATGAATCAAAATTTTAATTCACTAAAATGTTCAATGAATCTCTCATTAAACTAAGAGCACTTCAGGGCTCCAGGCCCAGTAGGTGTTCATTCTTACTAATTAACAGTGATGACCAAAGGCTTCTAGGCTGATCCTCATTGATATCATCTCAGCAATAAGATATTTCTCTTCGGGTTTCCCTTCCTCTCATGCTAATACCAAAGATTTCTTTGAATTCTGCCCTTAGATTATGCAAGGGGAAACATATAGCTTGAAAATACTGTATTTCGAAGAGAGATTAAAAAAAATCAAATTCTCTGGTTACTAATTTGAGTGATGTGTCTCATAGTGCTTTTCAATTCTAAGGAGATTATCAAGGATTGTGTAGGTAATCTTTCAATCTTCAGTAAGTAGCATTAACCCCAATTTGCGGGTGCTAAGAAGCAGTGCTTTGGGGTCTCCCAGTAGATAAGGGATTTAGCACCTGCCGTGTTTCCAGTCTGCATTGCAGCATGCATTTTGATTGATGTATTCTGAGTGTATGGATGCCGCTGTCCCAGGAAATTTTGCATTTGACCCAGGGAGTTTTTCTGTTGAAAGAGGAGGAACACTGAGTGTCTTGATCCTGGTGTGTGCTCACAAGGTAACCAGACCCAAGATTTTAGACTTACCGTCTATCTCCATTTTACTGATGAGGATATGACACTACAAGGGCTGATAAGAATATTTGCCAGTGACTGTGAAGGTCAAATACAACAAGTAGCAAAAATATATAAATGATTGGTTGCTACTTATATATTGTTTCTCATGTAGCTCTGTAGTCATCCTTTTTTTAAAAAAAATTTGTAGATTTCTCTTTAAATTTTTTTAATTTAAATTAGAAGCAAATCACGTGTCAATCCCAGCTCCCCCCAGTCCCCCGCCTCCATAACTCCCCATCCCACTCCCCCTCCACTACCCAGGGAGGGTGAGGGCCTCCATGGGGGATTGCCAAAGTCTGTCATATCATCTGGGGCACGGCCTAGGCCCTCCCCCATGTGTCCAGGCTGAGAGAGCATCCCTCCATGTGGACTGGGCTCCCAAAGTCCATTCATACCCCAGGGATAGAACTGGTCTACTGCTAGAGGTCCCATATATTGCTGAGGCCTCCTCACGGACCACCCACATTCAGAGGGGGTCTGGATCAGTTCCTTGCTGGCCTCCCAGCCAATAGTCTGGGGTCCATGAGCTCCCCCTTGTTCAAGTCAGCTGTTTCTGTGGGTTTCAACAGCCTCATCTTGACCTCTTTGCTCATCACTCCTCCCTTTCTGCAACTGGGTTCCAGGAGTTCAGCTCAGTGTTTAGCTGTGGGTGTCTGCCTCTGCTTATATCAGCTACCGGATGAAGACTCTAGGGTGGCATATAAGGTAGTCATCAATCTCATTATCAGGGAAGGGGTTTAAGGTAACCTCTCCACTATTGCTTAGATTGCCAGTTGGTGTCATCCTTGTAGATCTCTGGAATTCTCCCTAGTGCCAGATCTCTCATCAAATCTATAATGGCTTCCTCAATTATGATATTTCTCGTCCTTCGCGCCTTTATTCTTCTCCTGACTCAACTTTCCTGCTCCCCCATTTCCTCCTCTCCCCTCCTCTTCTCCCCCTCTCTTTCTCCCAGCTCCCTCTCTCCTTCCCCCATGTTCCCAATCAGCTCAGGAGATCCTATCCCATTCCTCTTCTCCAGGGTACCATGCATGTCTCTGAAACCTTTCCTTCATGTAACTTGAAACTTTTGTATTTACTTTAGAGCAGAGGAGGTCAAGGGCAGATCTTCTTAGACTCCATCCAGAGGGATTTAGTTGATGAAATGTCAGAAACATTATCACAATAGTATGTACTTGCTGTAAGAGGAGAGCTGTAAGCTACACCATAGAACACACAAAATGAGGAAGTAGAAGATAACGTGAAATAGTCATTTTTCTGTTGTTTGTAAGCCATGTGCCAGAATCTTCATACATGGCAAGGCCAGCCAGAGAGAGGTTTGTTTATTAGCATGGACTCTGAAGGAAGATGTTGCATATATAACCCTATGGTCTCTGAGCATCAAAAGCATAGTTCTTATATGCTGGGACAGAATCTTAAAGTGGAATTTATAAGTATTCAAGGAATAGCAGAAGAACTGAAATTTGCCCCAGTTCTGCAGGTTGCCACCCCTTCTTTTGTTTAGATGGAGGTGGGCTGTAGAGTAAGTAGCTCTTTGGAGTTGTTATGTATGAAGTACTTGCTCACTCGCAACCATGGTTGCATGCATCTGATTCTTCATGCCTCTTTACCTTATTCCCTGAAACTAGATGCTGGAAATCAATTACCCCAGGCCTGTTGAAGGAGCCCTTGGGTCTGGGGACAGGTGACTGCCCAGAAGAGGCCACGGAAAGTTCCTAGTGAATTTGTAGGGATGTTTGTGAGGTCTACTCATAGGACTCTGTTAATGCTTTGTCCTAATGACTTTCCTGTCTATCTTGGATTTCTAGTCTATACCAGCCTTGAACGCTGAGGTCTCTCTGCTGTCGCTCCTGACCTCTACCTCTCCTGACCTCTGGTAACTGGTTCTTCTGGTCATTTCCTTCTTGTGCATGGATGTCTAATTTGCTGTAATTTCATTCTGTTTAGTTCTATTGTTCAAAATTACAAAACTGCATTTTCATACCCTTCTGTACAGATAATCTTTTAAGTTTAAACAAATGGATTGTGTTATGCATATTCTTCTATAACCTTACTCTTCTCCTTACAAGCCTGTTAGAGATTTTCCCCACCTCCTTTCCATGTAAAACTACCCTATTCTGACCAAATTGTACATAGAATTCCTATGTCATTGTAGAGATGTACATACATTGTGTCAATAGTTCCCTGTGAATTGACTTTGGATTGTTCCCAATTATTCTTTTTTTTTTTTTTTTTTGGTTTTTCAAGACAGGGTTTCCCTGTGTAGCTTTGGAGCCCATCCCCAATTATTCTTATAAATGAGGCCTTCATAATGATTGTTGCTTATATGTCTTATTGTATTGGGGACTGATTTTAGTATATCATGGGGCTAAACCCCTTATGGAACTGTTGAGTCCAGAAATTAAAAGAATATTTATTTGTTGTTAGGCATTATTATTATTATTATTAGGTATGTGTATGGTGCGTATGTGTGTGTCTCTGTGTGTGTGTGTGTGTGTGTGTGTGTGTGTGTGTGTGTGTGTGTAACATTGCATGCAAGCTGCATTGCACATTTAGAAGGCAGAAGAGAACTTTGTGGAGTTCCTTTTATCTTTACATGGGTTCTGCATTGAACCCAGGTTGTCAGTGTTGTGGGTATCCACCAGAGAAGCCTGCTGATAGAAAGTCTTTGTTAGCTGGCTGGTGACTATACTGAGCTTTTAGGATCCCAGTGTAACACCAAACCTTTCCCAGACTGAGCTTTTAAGCACAAAATCCTTGTCCTGGGTTGACACACTTCAGCTAACAAGCATGGCTAGCCAGAAATGGAACTACAGAAGCCAAAAACCAAGGTTAGTACATTTAGAGCCGTTCCTAGAAGTTTTTGCTTTACCTATGAATTGTTTATAATTTTGTTGTTGTTGGTTGGCTGATTTGGTTTTTTGAGCTCTGGCTGTTCTAGAACTCACTGCATAGAACAGGCTGGCCTCAAACTCACAGAGATCTACCTGCCTCTCCCTCTTGAGTACTGAGATTAAAGGTATATGCACCTTGTACCTTGCCATATATATTTTTTAATATATTGTGCTTATGTTAGGTGAGGATGTTCAGGAATTCTTTCTGCATTGAAAATTCTGTATGCTTTTGTCAGTAGGAGAAAAAAAAAGGGATTTGGAGATGCTGTGCTATTCTTGCTGGAATGTGCTCGGGGAAGGGTATGAGAGGACACGGTGAGCTGGTGGCTTGTGTGGCTATGGCAGGTATAAAAGGCAGGCCCAGGGAAGCAGACAGATGTGGTTGAGGTTGGGGTTGGGTGGTGAAATCCTGTCACACTGGGGAATTGAAATCCATCTTGAAACCTAGACCTTACACAAAGAGGAATGAGAATGGCATCTTAGCAAAGTGGGGCTGACTGTGGTCTTGAATGGGCAAAGAGATAACCTAAAAGATCGTTGCTGTAAACCCAATAGGAGGGGTTACAGGCCTGAGCCACTGTGAAGTGGAGGGATGGGAGACTAGTGCTCTATTTAGATGGTAGAATCAGTACTACTGGTAACCAAGGGAACAGATCAGGACCCAGGGAAGAAGAGGTATCTTAATTAGGTTACTATTGCTGTGATGAAACACCATGACCAAAGAAACTTGGTGAGAAAAGGCGTTTATTCAGCTTATGCTTCCACATCACAGTTCATCATTAAAGGAAGTCAGAACAGGAACTCAGGCAAGGCAGGGACCTGGAGGCAGGAACTGATGCAGAAGTCATGGAGTGGTGCTGCTTACTGGCTTATTCCTCATGGCTTGCTCAGTCTACATTCTTGTAGAACATAGGACCACCAGCCCAGGGATGGTACCACTCATAATGGGCTGGGCCCTTCCCCATCAATCACTAATTAAGGAAATGCATATATGGAGGCATTTTCTCAATTGGGTATCCCTTCTCTCTGATGACTGTAGCTTGCGTCTAGTTAACATAAAACTAGTCAGTACAGAAAAAATGAATTGGGGTGGGGGGATGACTGAGCTCACATATGAATTAGGTAAAATATATGAAAGGAGCTACTAAGCGAAATAGGGACTAAAAGAAGAATATATTTGAGATCATGGTTAAGAGCACTGACTGCTTTTCCAGAGGGCTTGAGTTCAATTCCCATCATCTACATGGCAGCTAACAACTAACTGTCTGTAACTCTAACATCTGATACCCTGACATCTGTGCAGGCAAAACACCAATGCATATAAAATAAAAATACATAAATCATTAAAAATGAATATGTTTGAGATCAATTTGGGATATGGTGATATGGAACTAAGAATGCCCAAGTAGACAGACATGTGTAGTCAGCAGGTGAAAAGATTGGGCAAATGGGGGTTGGTCTTGTTTGCTGCACCATTTGCAGCTAGAGCAGCTATGAAGTGGAGGGATGAGAAGTGTTCTATTTAGATGTTAGGACCAGTAGGGGGTGGTGACCAGATCAAGAGGGCAGAAGCAATGGATAGATGAATGAGAGAGAGGAGCTCTCCCTGGTAGAGCCAGTGGGGTTGTCTAGAAGACAATGTGTATTGCAAAGAGAAGGAGCCATGTGAAGAATGGCATCATTTAAGAAGATGCATGGCCACTATGAAAGCCACATGTGGTGGGCACATTAGCTGTTCTGTAAACTGACACGCCCCAAGCACTCCATAAACACTTCTTCAAAAAAGTGTTCTTTGAAATTATATATATTCATTAATTTTGCTGGAGGGTTTCATGTTTGCTAGGGCATGTATGTAGAAGTCAGAGAACAGCTTGTGGGACTAGGTTCTCTCCTTCCATCCTGTGGGTCTTGGTGATTGAGCTCCAGTTCCAGAGCTTGGCAGCAAGCACTTTTATCCCTTGAGCTTTCTTGCAAGCTCTATCAGTAGTTACCACCCAAATGCAAGTTAGTGGGAAGGAGTAGAACAGAATCACCCCGAAGGTTCAAGAAGGGATCATCAGTCAGAGGATGCCCACAGTCATGAAATGGCATCACCAAGGTCAAGGGAGAAGAAATTTCCAAAAAACCAGAATGACAGAATGGGTATCAGTTGCTACTCAGGTGAGCTTGAGAGAGGATGGGGGGGCGGACAGGACTTTCAGCTAGGTGGCTTAAAGAGGTCAACTTCGTTTGTGCTGGTAGGGTCTGGATATGCACAAGGAGTCAATTTTCAGTGAGTTATGGAGTAAGCAGTGAGGAAGCCAACAAAAGCAGTACTCTCGGGTTGAAGTATTTAGATTAGGGGGGCAGCTTTGCCCCTTGCTTCACTTCCATACTGAGACCGGTCAGTCTCTCTGCTCATCTTTGACCCCAGTTAATGTGCTGTTCCTTTAACTAGAGGCCTCTGTATCATGTGAGAGTCTGCTAGCAGTGCAGGTGTTTGGACCGGATCCAGACCTAATGACCCAGAAGGTCCAGAGGCCTGGCCTACTGGAAGAATTTTCAGAAGGTATAACAGGGGACTTGGATATGCTCAAAAAAATTGCAACCCATAGGCCTAACAGCCAAGATCTTTAAACCTGAGTGCAGGAGAATTGAGGCTCTGTCCTTCTACTTAAAAAGCAGCAGAGACCCAGCTTCTGCTTGTGCGTATGGATGCAGGAGCCTAGAAGCCTCATTCCCCCATGAAGACTCACATTTTCTGTTACAACACAAAACATTATATCAGTTTCTTTCCCATGGCTGTGTTTAAATACTATGACCATAAGCAACTTAGGGAGGAGAGTTCATTTGGCTTCTAGATCCAGAGGAGAGGTCCATAATGGCAGGGCAAGTATGCTAGCAGGCGACGGGAGGAAGAAACTGAGAAGTCACAGCTTAACCTCACACAGGAAACAGATATAAAGAGTGTGTGAACTGGAAGAGAGATGAGGCTCTCAACTCTCAAAGTCTGCCCCCACTGACTTCCTTCCTTTACCAGGCTGGAACACCTAAAGGATCTATAATCTCCCCAGGCACCACCAGCTGGTGACCAAGTGTTCAAATATTTGAGCCTATGTTGGGGGGCATTTCTCTTTCAAACCACCACAAACCTTATCTAAAGACATGCCCTCCTTGTCTTTACAGGAGGATTTGGTTTTACTTTTACTAAAGGTCTGGGATTCTCTACTCCCATCTTTCTGTTCTTAAATTGCCATTCGGTGTTCTGTGTTTGCCTACCATTTGAATGGCAATGTTGGGAAATCTGGAGACAGTGGCAGATGCTTTCCTGATTCTACTCCAAAGTTGTCAAAACATTTATTTTCTTTTCCTTACCAGGTCTGTGAACTGGATATTATCTTTAATTTTGAAAAGGCATATTTTATCCTCGATGAATTTATAATAGGTGGAGAAATTCAGGAAACATCCAAGAAAACAGCAGTCAAAGCCATTGAAGACTCTGATATGTTACAGGAGGTCAGTATGGTTTCCTATGCATGGGGAAGATGATGTTGGGTTGGGTCCAGCACTAACTATAATATAGCTACCACTCTGAGTACTGCACCTACATGCTGTGTTGGGCATAGCTTCTACTTTAAACGATTTACATGTTAGCTTACTCAATTCTTCCACCATTTCTAACTAGGTGCTAATCTGTTCAAGAGGTGAAATGTCTTGCCTATTTTCATAGTTAAGAAATATGAAATATCGCTTTGGACCCTTGCAGTTTAGACATGAGTTTTTGCTTGTCCTGTTTGGCTGAGCATTGGGGTCTGAAAATATCCTACCCTCTGAGAGGGTATCAACTGCTTGCTTCTATTCTTTGCAAACGCAATTTTATGAGATGTATAAAAAGACTTTCATTAAAATATCTTCTCTGCCCTGGGAAGGGAGAACAGCAATGCATAGTTATTTCATTTGCTAGGAATATTAGAGCTATGTTACCGAAGATGGCATTCGTCATTTTAATTGAAATTCCCTACCTCTTGGGAAGGTCTTAGGTCTATGTGCTCTTGTTTGCATGAATGAATCAGGAGCGCTCATGGCTGGATTGCTGAGGTATAAGTGGGTCCTGAAGCCTGTGCTTGGCGCTGCTTCTTACTCTGATGGCGTCATATAATATCCTGGGACTTTTCTTTTTAGAAGCATCCCAGATGTGAATCAGATGCAATAGGGGAATATAACCTACATTAACCCCTTCAAGAACACTGAAAAAGAGCACTGTGTTCTCTGACCTTTGCCTTCTAAAATGAGGTAGCTCTGAGCAGTCCTAAACTAAGCATGTTTCTAGGTGTGTAGATTCTGTCCCAGGTCTCCCAGAATGTGAGTGGATCTTCCTTCCTTCCCTCTTTTCCCCCTGCCACCTCCACTCTCTGCTGTGTGTTTGTCTTTTTGGACAGTCTTAGGATATAACTCAGGCTGGCTTTAAACTCACCATTCTCCTGCCTCTACCTCCCAAGTGCTGGGATGACAGGCATGTACCACACCTGGCCTCAGTGGGTCTTTCCATCTTCCTGTTTTCATAACAGCAGGTCAAGAGTCAAGAGGATTTCAAGGACTATAAAGTACCTTTTTAAAATTGGTGCTAAAGCCATTCTTCCTGCTCTTTGGAAATAAGAGACTGATTAAGTTAATAAGACATTAGGCATGATTTCCCAGCAACTGTCTTGGCAGTACTTTGAACTGATTCCTTACTCCTGCCCATGGAGGGACTCCATCCTCAGGTGAGTGGATATGCAGAGAGACCAGGGTGGGTTTCCATGAGCAGCTCTGTGTGCCCGTTAGGCCAATGCATTCATTGCTAGATGTGTTATCCCCTTGAACAAACACGTCAAACCTCTTTGAGTCTTACTCTCTTACTTGACTCTTTCCAAATGTCACAAAAGAGGGTTTTATGAGGCACGGAGGACATCAGTGCTTGGAAATTCCACAAAAGTACGTCTATCAAAATATGCTGGGGTGGAGAAGCAGGTAGTAGGAAGTGGGGCTCTTCCTAAGCCCCTCCTCTTGGTCTTTAAGACAGAAGCTTCTTAGAAGGAGGCAGACTTTGCACAGGTTCTTTGGCACTTCAGTAATTGAAGCATCCTGAATCGAGGCCAAGACACACCTGTGTGATTTCCAAGTCCCCCAGCTGCAGGAAACAGGCTTTTAAGAGCTTTCAGTGAATCTGTGTTCCTAGTTCCCTTTAAATCTTGGAAGCAGGTATTTCAAGAAGTGAGCCCTGTCACAGTTAAGCACTAATTGGCTAGTTCATGTCCCTGGTGACTAAGTGGACAGTATGAAAGGGTATCGTTAGGTGCCCCTGTGTTAAACCCTGTACCCCAGTGAGCAGGCAAGGTTGTGACTTTAAATGTGTCTTTAAATGGCACCTGTTGAATGACTAGAACCTGTCAAATGAGAGAGTGTTGTTAGTGTCCTCATGGGCTCTGGTACCCTACCCCCCGGCCCCAGTGATGTCAGTGAACATTTGGGAGAGTTTGTTGAGAAGTTGACTTTGCATGTCTGTGTGCTTCAGTAAGTATAGGGTGTGTAGGAGAAAACGTTCAAATTGCATAAAGGAGAAGGATTGCCCCTTTATTTCCTGACTTTCAGCTCTTAGTACGTATTAGTAGTTGCTGGAGGCTGAAGACCTTTATGACATTGTCTTTTTTTAGAACAACTAAAAAGGATGAAATCGCTCTTTGGACTTTCCCCTCAATTACACCTAATAAAAGTTTCTTGGGCCAGGGGAGAGAAACACAAGTTGTTTTCACGTATTTGATAAGAGGATCAATAGTCTCAAAGCTCCAGGTGCTCAGATCTTAATAACCAGGTCAGGAAGTCTGATGGGCTGGGGATGACTTATGGGAAGGGGTAACAGCAATGAGGGTGATGCCATAAAGTTAGAAGCAATGGAGAGGTTGTAATTCTCAAGGTTACCAGATAGGGGCAGCCATAAGTGAATGATCTTCACAGACAATGGCCTGGCAGGAAGGGAAGGTCAAATGGAGCCAAGCCAGAGGCCACCTCGAATATACATGAGGATGCATGAGCAGCTGCTTGGTGTACCCCAGTACTTTCAACCTTCAGATCATAAACTAAAACCACAATGTAGTATAAAGGTGCTGTATATTAGGTACAGAATGTATACTACCAAGGTGTGAGAGTCTCCAGATGGGTCCCAAGATACAACTCTAGCCTGACTCCCTGAGGGCAAGGGAAGACAAAGATTTGAGACTGTGACCCTTTTAAGTCAGTTCCAACCCTTTTTAGTGGCAATTTCAAGAAGACAACAAATTCTTATACCACTTCTTTATGCCCCTGGAGTGATAGGCCTCAGAGAGGGCAGGTAGGGCAGCCCTGGCGTCACCTCATGCTAATATAGGGTAGATAGCCAGAGCCGTGTAGCCCCTTGCGTCTGTGAGGCATTCATTGTATGCCCTTGACTGTCTCATGCTCCTTCAAGGCTGTAGAAAGGGTCAGGCAATGTGTGCATATAGTCAATTCATTTTAGTCAAATGAGGAAAAGTAAGACATTTTAACTGCAAAACCTATATAACCATAGCACATATAAGAGTATCAAACAGAATATGCTATTCTAGATTTTATTTTGTCATCTTTTTAATATTGATAATGTGCTGTCATCTCTTACTCTAAATAAATTTTAGACTCTTGGATCTTTTTAAATGGGAATAAATACTACAAAACCCACATAGGCTGTGAACCACTGTTGATACCTCAGTCAAGTTAAAAGATAAGGATGGAATATTCAAAGGCAGATGTCTTTGGATATAAATAAACCTTTTGGGTCAGTGCTCAGTTAGGAGGCTGACAAGCTTTAGAGAAAGTATGGTTGACTAAGCACAAATAATTTCAGCAGTGGTACACTTAAATCCTAAAGGGACAGGGAAAGGAGTTAGAAACCTGATTTCTCATTTGGGTATCTTCTAGAGCAGTAGTTTTCAACCTTCCCAATGTTGAGACTTTTTAATACGGTTTGTGTTGTGATGACCCCAAATTCCGTTGCTACTTCATAACTGTAATTTTGCTACTGTTATGAATTGTAATGTAAATACCCAGTATGCAGGATATCTCATATGTGACCCCTGTTTGAGCTGCTCTAGACAATCTTGCTGGCCAATAGCTTTGGTCCCTTTGGCCCATGCTGCCAGTCTTTCCTGGGATGTTGAATGGTGGCACACATTTTGGGATGCATAATTAAATGTTGATTGCTAAGCAAGTTGATAGTGACTCACAGTGACTTAAAGTATTGCCTAAGGATAACTTGCTGTCTCCCCTACCCCCTGCATGAGCTCTCTTACTGATGTAACCTGGGTCATTGTTTTTCACAAATGTGTATCTGTTCAGAAGGAGGGCGTTTGCAATACCACTGTGGAATTCTACCTGTCTTATCAAACATTTGAAAGAAAAGACGGAGACAGAAAACTCTATCTTTGGGGCTTAGTAGCAAGCTTGAAAACTAAAAGAGGTTCTGGATGCTTTGGAGAAATGCTCTTCCAAAAGGCATGGCAGAAATCTTCCAGAATCATGGGCTAGTTATCACTTCTGACTGGGCTGTAGCTTTAATGAAAAGGTTTTGCAAAGTACTGAAAGCAATGCTTATGTTGTCCATGTATACTTGGGGCTTTTGTAACCGTGTACCTGCATGTGGTCTTCACAGCCATTTAGACTCATAAGCTTTGAAATCAACAGTGGTATCTCCACAGTTATTGTTTTAACATCTCTTTCCAAACATCCACTTCCTGAACAAGCTTAGCCTGTTCTGAGTTGAAAGTGATGGATTTACAGCCATGGACATGTAGACAAATGATATTCAAACTTGTAGAATGCAAAGATTTATGTCCATATATGATTTTGAAATTTTTTCAGTATTGCACAAAAAAAAAACCCCAACAGAATGAAAAACAAATCATAGTCTGTTAACGCATATGGTTTACAGGGAAAATTACTCTAAGTCATTGCTCTCTTTCAGACAATGGAAGAATACATGAACAAGCCCACATTTTAAGTGTACAGTCTACTTGAAGATTCGGAGTGCTTCGTGTTTTGAATCTACAAATAAGCAACTTTTTGCATCCAGTCTCTACACAGCTTCTGGCACCATGCCAAAAATAACTTAAAGGGATTCCATGTTAGCTAGCAAAACTTAATGTTGTTAGCATAATGTATTTATAGTTACTATGTGTCTGTATTATACTGTGTATGAGTACTCATTGTTGCATAATTGCTGCAGATTGAATGGTTGCTTGCAGTGTTTTAAGTCCTTGTGATATATTTAAGGTAATTTCAAATATTAGTTACAATATAATGATTTTTGTTGCCACTTGATCTTATACCTGTAGACTGAAAACTACATTGTACTAACACACAGTTTTGAATGTAAAGTATATTTTATATAACTAATGCTTTTCCTAAATGTTTTTTAAGAGGTACATGAATGCAAATTTATGCTAATAGTTCAGATTTCATACATGATGCAGACATTTTTAATATGTTCAATACTACTTTAATTTCAGGTCAGATACAGTATATCTGACTTTAATGTCTTGAATTCAACTTATTTTTTTCAGAATTGGGATAGAACTTCATAAGTGATTTTGGTGTCTTAGAAGGTGCTAAATTGAGGTTTTTACTTTATTTTCAGTTGAATATAAGGGACATTTCAATAAGGTTATGTTTTCTATAAACTATATATTTATTAAGCTTTCAGGAGATCTGGAGATAAAATGTAAAAGCATCTCCTACTATTACCAAAGTACTAAGAAAGGAACAGCTAGAGCAATAATTGTGATCTCTACTGCTAATGTATATCTCATGTTCCAATTAGTCCTTTCGATCAAGAGACTTCTTCAGAGTGGAATGTACTAGGCTTCCTTAGGGCATGTAGTTTCATTGTACCTTTTATGGGAGGTGATTCTATTCCTTTCCCCTCCTCCTCCCAGGAAAATATTGTCTGCTGACCACTGTTATTGTGACCATGTCACCTTCAGGCTTCCAAAACAGAAGATCTGCATAGTCAGGATCTTATTGCGCTCAGACGTGAGATAGGAAGTGGCTTGTAGCATTTGTTCTTGGCGCCTGTGTCTGGAGTTTCGTGTGTGCATTTTCAGTGTTGGTTTCCAGGTCTGATGTCATTCATAACAGAGTTTTTCCTAAGATGATAGTGAGCTTGTTTTTGTATTCTGTGGATGATCCCAAAAGGTGGCGCCTTAGAGAATGTGATGGCTTGTTGTCTCTGATTCATCTCATCAGGCATATTTAAAGGATGGTGGCAAAACCAGAGCAGAATAACGGTCAGACACACAGAACATTCCTCAATATAACCATGTATTTTAAGGCAATAAGTCAGTTTACATATGAGGTAATAACTGGGCTTTTAGTAGCTGATGTATCTTCAAAATAACAATATGATTACAGCAGCAGGTTGACATTTGTCCAACTTTGTTTAGACAGTCTTCAGTTTTTTTCACTAACTTAAAAAATGATAATTTTTTTTTCAAACATTCTGTAAAACTGAACTTTCTGTAATTTCAGAGGTTTTCAGGTTCCTTCTCATTGCTTTTGGATGAAGGTCTCTTTTGAGCCTCATTAAATGTACTGCTAATATCCTGAATAATAGCATATTTGACACTGTCCAGCTTGTACAAGGATTCTTCCTGTTAATGTACACATAGAAAGTCATATTTATGTGGCATTCTGTGGTAAGTCCAAAGGATTTGAGGAACAGCTCACATGAGCTTTAATGAAAAAATCATTAGGTATATTTTCTTTATTATTTTAAAATTCTAAGAAGTACCAAGTGAAAGAAAAAATAATACTGAATTTGTATAAAACTCTCAAATAAAATGTTAAAAAATGTTGATGATGAACTTGAGTATGCTTTTATGACTTTATATAATATATATATATATGTATATATATATATATATTTAAATAACCTTTTAATTCTTGAAATTCTAACTTTAGTTTCTGGTATAAAATCCCTTTAGAATTTCTTGCTATACTCAGAAGTGCTGGCACCTACCTTTAATCCCAGCACTTGGGAGGCAGAGGCAGATAGATCTCTGAGTTCAAGGCCAGGTGGTCTACATAGTGAGTTTCAGAACAGTCAGGGCTACACAGAGCAACCCCGTCTCGAGAAATGAAACAAAACAAAACAGCAAAACCAACACACAACAGCAACCAAAAAGAAAAAGAATTTCTTGCTATTTGGCAATAAGGAGAAACTCAACAAGGCCGAGGTTCCTGGGAGAAGAATATCTCTTTCTTTTCCCCCTCCTGTTGTTTTAGCATTCCCTCAGTGGGATAACCTGATTTTTTTTTTTTATAACCTGATTTCTTTACTGGCAGCTGAGGAAGCAGTCAACATTTCATTACTACCCTTAACAAATGTCAATACATTTTTTTGTGATAAAGTAAGTGAATTTTCTCATCCTGAATCTCTTAAATAACATGAAGGCTTTCAGCAAATACATTGTGTTTCAAAACCCCATAGTTCTTTCAAGATGTTTATTATCAAACCTATAAAATATCATTGATGGCCTGCATGGAGTTTCACTTCTCAGAAGTCTCATCAATAAATGCACTGATAAGTGTTAGTGTGATTTTTTCAGTGTTCTCTGCATCTTTTGATACAATACAATCAGATGTTTTGGGACCTATAAAGCCCGCCAAGAACAGGTTTCCAAGGATGGTAAAGTATTTTGTTTCAACCCTTCTTGTGACTTGTTACAAACAGCTCATAAAGCTGCCCCTAGACGACATGCCTAGGAATTGGATAGCGGTAGTCTGTTTTGTCCCAAGTGAAACCAGAAGCATCTAGAGGCATCTAGGGCTTAATTAAAGTTGCCTCTTTCTCCCCTTCCTCATCCCTTTGCCCGCCTGTCTCCTCACTCTTCTCCTTTCCCTCCTCATAACTTTCCTCCTTCCCCTCCCACATCCCCCCCCCTTAATGCCTTCTTCCCTCTATTTCCTCCCTCCTTTTCATCCTCCTCTCCTCTTCCTCCCACTCTCTTATTTAGCCTTCTATTGCTGTGATAAAAACACCATGACCAAAAGCACCTTGGGGAAGAAAGGGTTTATTTCAGCTTATGATTTACAGACCATCATGAAGGGAAGTCAGGACAGGAATCTGGAGGCAGGAACTGAAGCAGAGACTACACAGGGATGCTGCTTACTGGCTTGCTCCCCAGTGCTTCATCTTGCTTGCTTATTCTACCCAGGACCACCTGCCCAGGGTGGTACCACACTCAATGGGCTGGACCCTCCCACATGAATTTTGAATCAAGAAAATGCTACAGAGATTTGTATACAGGCCAATCTGATGGTGGTAATGTCTCAGTTGAGGTTGCCTCCATATAGGCGACTCATGTTTGTGTCAAGGTGACAAAGAACTAACCAGCACACTCACTGTCATTTTTTTCCTAACACACAACTTCATTGTGTAGCCTGAGCTGTCCGCTAGCCCCTTCTCCTCCTGCCCCTGCTACCCAACTGCTGAGGTTATAGGTATATGACATCACACCTGCCTTACGTCACATTTCGATGTACTATTTGGCATGTAATTCAAGCCTTCAGATAGGTTAGGGTAAGTTCTCCATGAATGAATTCACATACTGACTGAATCTCAGGGTCCTCTTGAATATGGGTCATTGGTCCATAGCATACTTTCTTCCCATCATGACTTCAGTTCTAGGTGTTCATTTACTATTTTGCAGGAATGTTATCAGAGAATGTTCAAACATTTCTTTTGAGAGAGCATCTCTGTCTTGACTAAGAAGAGTCAATTAATTTGAGATACATTTGTGTATGACTCCATCATTTTCTTTCATGAAGTGACACTAGGTATGACAACCACAGTCCAGGGCAGGCCTCCTGCTTAGGAGTAGTTGGCCAGCATGAATCAGACTCCATGGCTTTTGGTGGAGTTTTTCTCTTCCTTCCTTCCTTCCTTCCTTCCTTCCTTCCTTCCTTCCTCTTCCTTCCTTTTTCTTTCTTCCTGTCTCTCTCTTTTGAGTAGTAGGAAGGAGGGACGATCTGGGAGGCAATGGGGTAGAGAGAAGAATATGATAAACATACTGTATGCAATTTTCAAATAATAAATTATTGAAAAGAAAAAATAAAGCAAAAGTTAGGTCATTTACATTCATTAAGATGGGATCAAATAAACTGAGAAGTGAAAGTGTGATAAATTTTCAATTAATGCAGTTTAAATTTGAATGCTTGAAATATTAATTTTGGTTTAATAAAATGAACTTCCATAAAGGTCTTAAACTATAAATATTAGTTTTAATTATGTAGTATTAAATACATTTTTGTAGAATTTATCTTCTACAATGAATTGACTTAATGAAATTACATTTTCCCATTATTAGAAATGAGCATTTTGGGGGAAAAATGCTTAATGGCATTTTGTCTAGTTAATTTTTGAGTAATTGTAGGATTAAAGGCTAAGACTGAAATGATGGAAAAACGAATAAGCCAAAGTAAGTTAATGAGAAAAATGACTAAAATCAGTTACATGTTCTACATGGAGCAGTAATCACATGTAGTAATATCAACAAATAAGACAATTTTAGATTGTTAATTGAAAAAATTTACTAAAATTATAAAAGCATAGTTTGAAGAAAATGCAAATCTTTTACATGTACAACAGACTTAGACACAATAAATAATAAAGTAAAAAAATCAGGTGATTTTGATGATTTTAGGATACGTTTCATGGAGACTTTTATTCTAGCCTTCTCGCTCTGTATCCTGGTCAGTTTTTTGTCAACTTGACACAAGCTAGAATTATTTGCGAAGAAGAACCCCAAGTGAGGAAATATATCTATCAGATTGACTGTAGGTAAAGTCTGTGAGTGCATTTTCTTGATTACTGATGGACAGAGGGAAGGCCCAGCCCACTGGAGCAGTGCCATTCGTGGGCAGGTGGTCGTTGGTGGTATGAGAAAGTGAGCTGAGCAAACCATGAAGAACAAGTCAGTAAACAGTCTTGTTCCATGGCCTTTGCTTCAGTTCTTGCTTCTAAGTTTCTTCCTTGAACTTCTCCATTCACAGTGACTATGCTGCTCCTCCCTAAATGGCTTTTGGTCACTTTATTACAGCAATAGAAACCAGACAAAGACATGCTATTTCTGTAGTCTGCATTTAAAACATGAGCAAGAATATGTAAGTACTGAAGCTAAGAATTTTTCTGAGGACGCTATCCAAATACCATTAAATATAATTTCAATTTTTATGAACTTTCAAACAATAGGAAATAGGGTTTGAATTTTTTATCTCTATTATGGTCACTGAAAGTGAAGCAGTAAGCTATATAGCACATGGGCCAGGAAGTGTGATCAGTGAGATTGTGAATCCCATTTGTGTTTAGCTATAGCTTTACAGTAGTGCTTGGGGACCTTGATGCTAGTTCTGAGTGTCATTGACAGGAATCATGTACTTGCTCTTTGGAGAGGTGGATTATGGGAGGATGACTGAGGTGAGCCAGACTGACTACTCATTATACACTGGAGGAAAGAAAATGAGAACACTAGTGCTCAGGCTTTGATGGGGTCATGGTGTTAATCATTTGTTTAATTAACCCTCCTTTGGATCAAAGGCATTTCCATAAGAAGGTGTTTGATGAGGCTGTTTTCTTTGTGAGCCATACAAGCTAATGGCTTTCAGGGCATGATTTTTATTCTTTTAACTGATGCAAGTCAAGTATATTGAGTGCACTCTAAATGACTGACACCATTCCAGGAGTAGAGAAAAAGCAGCTCCTGGAATATGGACAAGAAGTGAACTGCCAAGTTTGTGTCTGTGAGTTTCACAGGTGGAACTTCTCACTGTTTTGAGAAAGAACCATGTTTTTCTTGGCAATGGATAACAGTCTAAGAAGTTAGCATCCAATGACTGCTTTGGACATTTAGCGAAGGCATCCGTTTAACCTTGTTTACAGTTAACCATGAATGAAAACTTCACACTTGCTTCTGAGCTGAGGAGCCAGTGTAGGATGCAAACAACACAGCTTGAAAGATGAAGTAGTAATGGATGTTCATTTATGAGATCCCTTCCTGGCACTCTAGGGTGTGCCGTGTGCCTTGATTCATTCTTCCTGCCTCCTCTAAAAGCCCTTTCAATTATATGTCTCCTTCATTGTCTTTCAGCAGATACTTAAATATATATCTTATATATTGATGACATGAAAAAGTATTCACAGCAATCAAGATGGTTTTGAGAGAGAGAGAGAGAGAGAGAGAGAGAGAGAGAGAGAGAGAGAGAGAGAGAGAGAGTGAATGAGAAATGGAGAGACAGTTGTTTCTGATAAATGGTTTGTGAGTGTCAAGTTTTCTTATAATTCCTAGGTTTTTTGTATCTTTAAAGAGGCACGGCAGGTTCATGAAAGTATCAAAGCTGTGTCTTTATTCTCACAGCAAATTATCAGAATTGTTCACTTTTGGTCAAGAGCCTTTCTATTGTCTTTATCTTGAGACATAATTAGATTCCAAAGCATGACAGGATCTCCAAACTTCAAGAGACTGGTTTTGACTCTATTGTCCAAGACTTTTTTTCTGTTTTTGCTGATAGCAAAAGGACTCTACCATCCCTATCAGGACCTGGCACAGTGAGTGTCAATAAGTATAGAATGGAAGCAAAATGTTGGTTGCTCTGTGATGAAATGATCAAAACTAAAATTGAACACAATGGTGATACCTTAAGAATTTTTAAAATTTTCTTCCTTCCTTCCTTTTTTGTGTATGAAAGAAACAAGTGTATTGATAGTAGAATCTAGTCAGCCACATTTTCAAGTCAGCTTTAATTCAATACTGTTTATGCAAAGCCATTCATCCTGGTGGCAAATCCATTGTCAACT